ATTTAATATAAAAAAATTATAAAGATTGATTAAAATTTGAATGATTTTTATTAGAAGTAATTATTTAATTTTATATTGATATACAAATCTTTTTACACTAACCCATAATATTAATATTATCTTCTATTAGAATTTTTTTGATATTTATAGTTATTATATAATATCTATTAGTAATATAACAAAGTATATAATTTTCTTGATTTTTAATAAGTATAAATATTCTTGTCTTAATTTTGATAAAGAGTATTATCAATTATATACTTCTAGTAGATTTTAACTATTATTAATTAACTAACTTGGCCATCATCCAGATGAAATAATCTTTCTGGACAGTGCAAAAATTTTGATCTGCTATTTAACTGGTATTGCTTTTATTTGACATGAATAAAGAAAAACAAATATATTAATCTTTTGCATTACAACTAATTTTATTTTTGTGTGTGTGATATTAAGTAACAAACTTTTGTTATGACTTATCATTTTTATAATTTTAAATTTGTGAATTACATTATTGGTTGATAGATTATTTTAATATTAAAAATTTCATTCAAGTGATTCTATAATTATGGGAGCCACTGTATCTCAGTATTTAGGCCAGTTATGTGATAAAGCCCCTTATTGGAGAAGAATATACAAATCATAACGAAATGTTAATAAGTGGCATCACTATGAAAAGAATATCATATTTCAGATAAATCAGTTGAGTAGTAAAGGTAAGTTGAAAACCAACATTCTTCATAAAAGAAAATTTAAAGACACAGTATCATCAAGAGATAATTTGCGTAAAAATCACTGAGAATAACTACAAAAAATATATATGGGCTATGCCTAAAACTAGAGAGTGCCGAAATGACAAATAAAAATGAAAAATAATGATGACTAATTTTATGTTATAGCGATCAGAAGGGACTAGGATTTCTTGTTATATAACCCTGCTAAGAATTCGCACGGCTATATACTATGGAATTCACTTGCAACTAAGATAGAAGCAAACCGAATCAAGTTTATTGGCGGTAATATATTGTATTATTAATCAAAATTGGCAACACAAACAATTACATGTATAAAAAAAATCTTACACGCATGCCCAAGCGTGAGAGTATGCCTAGTTTATGTCAAATATCAAATCATTGGAAACTAATGGAAAATCAAATTGAGTTAATACATTCGTGCATTACAGATAATATCACGAATATGAAAAAATTCTTACTCAGTTCGAAGTCATCAAATTTGTGAATTTTGCTTGTATTCGTATATAATAAGTTGGAAAAGCTAGGTATGACGTCAGTAATTTTAGATTGTTTGCGAATTTGGTCGGCCTTCTCGAACTCTTTCATGATCGATTCATTATTCAACCATTCATTAAAATGAAAATCATGATTTCGTTTTTCAGGATCAGCGTCCAGGCATTTTTTGACCTCATTGATATAACACTCTGGCGTACCCTCGGCGATCTTTGGACGAAGGCCTCGAATAATATCCAAAGCTAAAGACAAGTCATGAGAACGACCGACGAAGGGTGGTTCGCTAGTTGACATCTCACACATTATGACCCCAAAAGCGTAAAGGTCGGCTTTTTGTGTATACGGTTGTTTGTTGATTACCTCTGGAGGCAAATACGGGAGTAACCCGACAACTTCATTGTTATTTAAGGCGTTCATTGGTCTAGATAGTCCAAAATCTGCAATTAGGGGCTTGTCGTCATGCATCAAAATATTACCCGAGTGAAAATCTCCATGAACAATGAAATCAAGGTGCGTTCGATAAAGACAATACGCAAGTTTCTAGGTTGATTATTAATATATTGTTTAATAATACATCATTTACTTATGGATTATAACATACATCGAGTATCTGCAACTTGTCTTTCCACGTCAAGACGGCCATATTGTTTTGTAAATATGAACGTAAGTCACCCTGGTTAGCGAGGGCTGTTACCATTATGTAATCAGAGGTTTTTGGGTCGCG